GGGTGGGAGAGGGGCTGCCGGGCAGGAGGCAGCGATGTTGACATCTTTGTCCCACCCCGAGTCAGACACTTCCCTGCACACGGAGAGGTGCTCACAGCTCTGGCATGCTCCTTTATTGGAAACCAACTCCATAACCAGATCTCTGCTTTCAGATCCCTCTCTGACCGGGCTGCCCTGTCCCCAGCTGTGGGGTCAACGCTGATCTCCCCCTCCCGGGTGTCCAAGCTGCTCAAAACCATTTTCCCAACTGTGCTCTAAGCCACCGCTCCTGCGGTCGCTAAATTAACACTCAAGTGCTGCACAAGGTCAAAGCCCTTCAGAAACCTGTGATGGTCCAAGAGTTGCAGATTTACACCAAACCACAGGTTACCTCCCCGTCCAGCCCCGCCACGGGGTCCTCGGTGCATCCCACCTCTGGCCCAGCACTCGCTGTTATTCTCTCTCTCTGCAAAGTAACTGGAAACAAAACGAGTTAAGATCAGGCACAGGCTGAGCACCCAGCCCCGGCACCGAGCTCAGCCCGCCAGCCCCCTTCAGGTTTCACCCCGGGGAAGCCACCATTGGGCTTTAGGCTGGTGCAGGCTGGGTGCAGGACACTCACAGCAGATTACTCACCTTTATTTACAACCAGCCGCCCTGGGAGCGCACCCTTCGCCGCAAAGCCTGGCTGCGGGACTCTGCTGCATTTTAAAACCACGAGCAGCAGTCCTGTATCGCCGTACAAACCTGCTGCGGGTGTAACCGACGTTATTACACGGACAAAGAGTGATTTTTAAGCAGAGATGCCGTAACTTACCTCCCCACAGCTCCCCGCTGCGTCTGGCACAGCCACCACGCGCACAAACACAACGATGTTCCGCAGAAACCCCCCGGCTGCCGGCTCTTCCCCTGCGCCGCTATCGGCACAAACAGCGGGCGAGCAACACAGGTGACCTTCACCAGGATCCCCTTCTCCTCATTTATAAATATTTTATTTCAAACAGAACAGCACAGGGAGGATAAATTACACAGCTTCAGTTATTCTTTAGCATCATCCTTTGACCACAGGTGGGTATGTTTTACAATTAAGACAAGAGGAACTCCAGGAAATCATTCTCACCCTGGGCAAAGTGCAGAAGAACTCATCTGGATGGGAGCAGGATGGAGGCTCTCCTCCAAAATTGTACCAGAAAAACCTTGTGGTCCTGGAATGTACCCAGTGCAGGTATCCTTGAGAAATTCACACTGTACCCTGGGACTGGTCTGCAGAGCACGTGCAAATTTCACAACATTTTCAGCAAGTCTCGATTTGGATGTTGTCTGAAAGCTGCCGAAGCTCGCAGCCAGGAGGAACGGCTCCGGCTTCCCAACCCAGCACGCGACCGACCAAGAGCCGGGCAGGAGACCGCACGTTTTATGGCTAAAAAAAAAAATAATCTCAGGAGATTAGTTCAGCACCAAAATTTTAGAGTTTAATTTGGACAAAGGAACAAAAAGCTAAAAAGTGCCAAATCTATAAAAGGGGAAGGTTTTAAGCTCCACTTTGCTGCACACACATTTCCCCTTCAGCGTTATTTCCACGAGGTAAAAGCCCATCGGTTTAACAGACACGTGCAAGGGACTAAGAGGTGATTAAGAACATTTTACTCTTGCACTTTTGTACTCCACACGTCACAAACACTACATGACACAGCAGGACATAGCAAACATTAAAAAAATAAGCGTCCGGTTAGCTGTCCGTTGAAACTTGACGGGACACCAGGAGAGCCTTGCTAAATCTTTGGGGAAATGTCTGAAGGGAGTTTTTGGTTCACCATGTGCGTCAGTGTCGGGCACAGTTTGCTTTTCCTCTTTGGTCCCCAGAAGGTGTCAGAGCAAGCGTCCACTCCACCTTCTCACTGTCGCCGAGTGCGTCAAGAACGGTCAGAAAAACATGACAGGGAAGCGTCAGCTTTGCCCCAGGATATTCCTGCTCCTGCCAGCAGCCTTTTGTTGATCAATAACGGCTTTTCAAATGACGTCCTGATGTCTAAGCCACAGCAGCGGAGTTCGGAGGGGTGTAAGAAGTTTTCAGTCTCACATGAGCAAGGGGAGGAACGTCATTGGGAGAAGTCCTGGAGTTTAAAATCTTGTTACTCGCTTCTCTGATGAAAGCAATGCACCTCATTAAAAATACAGCTGGCCTGGTGAAGGAAGTCTTGCTGGTCCCCTGGAATAACCCGCTGCGATGAGCAGGGCTGGTTCCCCCAGTGGAAAACCAGTCAGGCAGCTCGGGCAGAGCTGGGAAGGACCAAGACGGGGCTGTTCCGGACACCACCACCCATTATTTCACAGCAAGGAGGAAAGGGCTGGCATATCCCTTATTTTGAGTCACTGCTGTCTTCTCTTTTCTTAAATTTCCTTAAGTCACAGTGTCAGTGCTCAAACGAGGTGCCTCCAGTGCATCACGCTGGGAACACCCAGCAGCACGCTGAGCGCCCAGCACAGGGGCTTGGAGCTTGGTCTCACCTAAACACTCGTGAGAGGCATGTGGTCGGGTATTTCAACTGATTCGATTAATACAAAACAGCTCATCGGAAAAAAATTTGGCTGAAGACTTCCTTGAGAATCAGCTGAGAGAGCTCCCCAGCAAGCATGGGGAAGCTCAGGCCACTCAATAGGTAGAGTTTGTGATATAAAACACTTATGGGTACATAAAAATATGTATATATTTTTATATCACAAAGTATACATCTCACATATATCTGTTATCTATTTATAATCACAAATATTTTTATATCACAAATTCTACGTATACACCCCCCCACCTGTTTTTTAGGCATCTGACATTTTTTAGGAATTTTAAAGTCAAACCTATGCAGTGCTGGAAGAAGGAAAATAACGCAAAATTGTATCCGATGGAGTCCCACCAAGATCTTTTTCTGGATGTGCTGACGAGACTGCTGCGTGTTTTTTCCTGTAAACTCTTGTGGCTCATCCGTGCAGTGCAATCAGAGCTGTCAGGATCAGGAAACCCCGTTAACTGGAATTTTACTGTCTGCGCAGTACCAAGTGGAGTGAGTTCTTACATAGTTATTCTTCCTGGACCGACTGCATCTCTTCAAGTTCTCTCTCACTTTCAGCATCCTGGAAATGCAATAAGAGAACTGATAAATATATAGCTGGATGGAAACAGCTGGAAAAGAGAATTTCCCTTTTCTCCTCCAGCCCCACACCAGGTTTTAAGTAGAGCCCCAGCCTCACATTTTTCCTCCTAATGCTTTTATTTTTTCTCCCTTGTACTTCCACCTCCACACTACTGCCTTTGAAACCCATTTAAATTCCCCAAGTATCAAAGAGAGTTTCTCTTATGTTTCCTTTTGAGAGAGGAGAACCAACAGCCAGAACAGAAGAGTTCAGTCCTCTGCTCCCTGACCGACTTTCAGAGTCGGGATAAACTCTTTGTTTTTCCTTCTCAGCATGATGGAAGTTATTTGATTGATGATGAGAACTAACATTTGCAAAGACTTAACCAAAGCCACTTCAGCATTGGCTTCCTTACCCGACTCCCACTTCTCATTTCAGAGCAGCAGAGAGAATTAACTGTTCAGGACTCTTCTGCCTCTAGTGCTCTCCTGAAAATCTCAATGCTTTTCTGGTTAAACTCTTATGCCTCCAACACATCTATTTCTTGTTCTTTTGGAAAAAAACCCTCTATTTATCAGCCATACCATTCTAACTCTGTCTAGGGAGATTTCCAACCAGTGTATGGTGAGGAAGCTCCTCACCAGGCAGAGTCAGGATATTTCCTCCTGCAAGAAGGGAAGAAATTCTGCTCCATGCCCTGGTTTCCCCAGCTTTGGCGGCAGCCAAGCGGCTCCTGCAATCCTGGATGGTGCCCCGCGGGTGGTGGCACAGGCAAGTCAGCTCCTTTGCCAAGATCTCCCGCATACTTGTGGTTTGAGTCTCAGCTCTAGACATTTGCTACAACAACCTAAAGACTACTTACAGCTTTAAAACCAGAGTAGCACAGAAACGCTGCGTGTTCTGTAACCCTGCCTGACCCCCAGCACGGTTATTCCATCGGACTGAGGCTGAAGCTTGAAGAGCTGGAGGATCTTGCTTCCATTACTTCACTTGCGTTTTTCATGACAACGTAAAGAACATCCGGTCAGTATTAAAACCTGATGTGCTTTTCTTCAGTTTCTAACTGGCAGTAATTTGGGGGCACCCTCTACACAGATTCTGCTCAACAGGAAAAGTGCAAAGGAGAAGGAAAGTGCAGAAGAGCTCCCAGCTGGGGAACACTGCCAGGTGGCAGTTTCTAAAATGCAGCACAGTCTGCTCTCCAAAATGCTGGAGAAGTAATAAAAGAGCTGAAATACCCCAGATATTAAAAAAAAAAAAATGCTGGGCAGCACACACAAACCTCTGGGTGGCTCCAGCCGGGGGCAGCTCAGGAGCTAACCTGGCACCAAGAGATTGGAACACTGGCTGCTCCTCTGCTCCAGGCCCCAGGAACACGTGCAGGTCACTCACAAGAGTCTCTAACCGGACCCTGGAAGCAGCAGGGTATTTGCAGGGTGCTGTGCTGGGCTGGGCTTCTAAGCCCGTATCAAACATACTTTCAACTTGTTAATATTTTTCATTATTTTGCCAAATTGCTTTAGGCATTTGGATAACAGGTCCCAAGGGAATGAAAGAGTCCACATTAAGTAACAAAATACTTTAAAATCTGGGCTTACAAGCTGGAACATCTTTCAGAAAACAATTTTATTTCTGTAACCATTTTATCTCTGCTCATCATCACCGCGTGCTTGCCGAGGCTGGTACCTCTTTTGTATGAACTGTCAGCTCGGAAGCGAGATTCATCCAGTGAAGAGCTGCAGAGTTGTTCCCCAGGTCCCTGTAACACTGGGAAGAAAAAATGACAACGTGAGAAGAGCTAAGGGGAAAAAATGGGCAGCAAATGTAACTTATGAACCCTGGCAACTGCTAAAGAGAGCTATTTGTGCCTCTTCCGAAATCCCTGGCAGTGGTGGGATTAAACCTCCAGCCCATGGCTCACAAGTCACCAGTGCCAATTTATACAGAATTTGAGCTGTTAAAAACCAAGAAGGACGCTCCACTGGATGACTCAAAGGCAAACACCTCCCTGAATTTCAATGCCTCGGCACTAGATGATTTGGCCTTTTTCAGAAATGTTATCATCTTATAAGATCTCGCTTCTGCATGGACTAATCTACACGTGCTTGGCACTTTACAGCCAAAGACAAATTTTTAATACAAATATTTCTTACCCTAGAAGCATATGATTGAACAAAAGAAAGCAACAAGTGGCTGGTTACCTTGGCAATGTATACTCTCCCTGCTTTGGAAAACCCTGGGCTCAGTTCCTCGACCTGCAAAGAACAGAGGGGAGGGTGGGACAGCAGAGAAAAGCAGACATTAGGATAGGCCAAGGACACAGTTAATGCATGTATCAGGGTTACTGCAGCTCTTAAAAAAAAAAAATAGATGACAACTTTTGTAAAAACACAGATTGGTATAAGGATCTTTCATAGGCTTGCCTGGCTGGGTCTGTGAAGTCCTCAGATTCTCATAAAGTGCCTGGAACTCAACGAACAACATTCCCACTCTCACCTAATGTAAGTGTCATGGAAGAAGGGCGAGGTGGTCAGCAGCCAAGGGAAACCTGGAACCAACTTAACGGCCTCCTCCTGAACATGCGTGCGCTATTTTTAACCTCTCACCCATTCAGTTTCATCCACTTCAGCTCCTCCCAGACATTCCGGTGCCAAAGCTCAGCAACCTTCCTCCAGCTTTTATCCTCTCCTTCCTGGCTACTAATTCCCGACTTCCCAGTTACATCCCTATGCCTCCTTCCATTCAGCCCGGTTAGAGCCATCACTCTCCAAACAACTTTGTTCCAGCACGTCCCTATTGCAAACCCTTGGCTCGTGCATTCAAACTCCCCAACGTGCCCGACCAAGGCGCCTGCGCCCAGCCTGCAGAAGAAGCACCAGGAGCAGGACCCAGGCAACGCTCCTCCTCTTCCTTCTGCTGCCTGGCCTTAGAGCTGGCTCAGCTGGTGACCAACCCCGAGCTGCAACGTGCCGGCAGATTGCCATTCCCCCAAAGCGTGCCAACAGCGGCTGAAGGCTGACTCCGCTGAGCATACGGAAGGGCACTTGGTCAGGGTATAATCAGCTTCCCGCGAAGGCTGACTCCACTGAGCATACGGAAGCGCACTTGGTCAGGGTATAATCAGCTTCCCGAGGGATGCTTTTGTGTCCTTTTCAAGTTCTCTCCCTATTTGACCAAAGCTAAACCTCAGAAAAATGCAAGCTCCTGTTTCAAACTGCTCTGACTTATCAACAAAAGCAACGAGCTCTCTTTCTCTCTAATGAAAAGAAACAAAACGCTTTGCCTCAAACTTATCTCTGAAACGATTTAACCACTTTGTCTGAAAAGTATATTGCCTAGGACTGATACGCATCACAAACTTCCCTCTCAAACAACTACATTTTGGCAGAATTGTAAGAAACGGAAATAAATCTGATATTCCCTGACAGTCTGCAGAAGTGCTGGTCCAGTCTCTGAGCTATCAGGTGGCAGGGCAATTCCTTTCTGTAACACTTCAGAGGTGCTTACAAACAGTTCTCACAGACACAGCCAAAGACAGTCTGTTTAACTCATTCATCTTGCAACAAGAGCTATATGCTCAAAAACACGACTCAGGCCATGTCTTAAATTAATTTTCATCAACAGGAGGACAAAAAAAAGCTATTCAGAGGGTAGGATTCCTACACCATAGGAAGTAATCCTAAGAATTTCTTTCTAGAAATGCATAAGCAAACCATGAAGCGGTCGTCTTCCAAAGTTTGAATTGGAGAAGCTTGATCTAATCAGACAGCCTTTTAATCAAACATTCGGAGAGAAATTAGAACAACAGAATGTGACGAGTATCTACGCAAGCGTTCCCAGGGATGAGCTCAATCAGATCGCACAGACCCTGCCAGAGTACAGACCAGACGTGTTCAGTATCAAGCAATGAATCACAGCACTATGCAGCTTTTAAAAGGAAAACCAAAACCCTTAGAAATAATTCTGAACAGTTTTGGATCTAGTTCTGAGGCCTTCAAAATCATGTTCTTCTGTCTGCTCTGTAACAGAGGCTCCAAAATTGTTGCTTTCACCAGCTTTCCTTCCACAGGCTCTGGTCAGCAGAGACGTAGCACAGAGCGCTTGGGGAGTGATGAGTGTAAGCAGAACCCAAGTACTGTGTTCCACACGTGTGACTGCATTTGTCAGGTTAGCGATTCCCCAGCTCAGCAGCTTTCATTACCCGTAAGAAGTTCTGCAGTGCGTCCTGCACAGTGGCGGTCGGGGGGGCTTCAAACAACGCAGCAGCAGTCTTCTTCTCGAGCCATCCCAGGTGGGAAACCTGCAGAGACAGTGAGATGGAACCGTCAGACCCACTAGAGACAGCACACACAAAAGCACACAGACACACCGTGCCTGGTTCTTGGCACTGGCTCGTGCACCTGGGAGGAAGTCAAAGACCTTGATAGTGTCGGCAGATTCTGGACAAGCATCCAAGTCCAGCCACAGAATTAAACCCAATTTCCTTTTCCTTGTCCTGAGCTTATATTTCAGGTCAGCTTTTGCAGTTCCATCCACCAGCTGCCTCATGCCCAATACTCAAAGGAAGATTGTCTCTACAACCGGATATTTCAGGCATGTAACGGTGCGGGTGGTCCACAACCCCAAACCGCCGTACCGCAACCGCACCGGTTCCTGGCAGTCCTCACCTCTGTGCATCTGGAGCCCTCCCGGCTCCCGGCTTAAATCTTGCAGGAGAACATGTTCTCACCATACAAAGATCCATCAAGAGAGACAGGCTAAAGCCCTCCCACCAGCAGATATTTGCATTTTGAGAAATAGATAGCTATTATAACAACGTAATTAAATGTGTCTCCCAGCTGTTTCTAATAGGAACCACCCTGAAATTTCAACAGGGCAAGGATGCACAGGACTGTGACTGGGGATAACACCTTCTTTAATACTGTATAATGCTCAGAATGCAGAATAGCAGAAGCACTAACGTATTTCTCCATACATCTGGTTTTGTTTCATAGCTGCAGCAGCTCTAAGTGCAGTCAGGCTGAGCAGAGTCCACAAGCCAATAAAGGGCTGGGAGCTCCCACCCATTCAGCTCACCACTCCTCTGTAATTACTGGCGTTAATTATCTCAGCTACAACCTCTGCAACGTGACTCCGTTTCTGACAGCAGCGAAGCACTTTCAAATTGTATAAACAGCAAAGTCGATAGTTACTGCAAACTCTTGCTGCTTTTTACAGGCACTAAATCTGATTTATGGCATTTGACTCCAAGCTTTTCCCCAGCACGAAACACAAAGCAGCCGGCACGCTTCTGATACCTCCAGTGCCGGGTGCAGCAAGGGCAGAGGAAACACCTGCAAAGGATTATACAGATATACTGTGTGCAGAAGCTCCTGCCAGCCCCGAAATGTCCTTGATCACATCCACATGTGCCTGAAGGGCTGAAGGCAGTATGTTTTTCCTGGGTAAAGCACGGGGAACAGTAAGCTAGCCTGCAGCTAGGGCTTTTCCTGGTCCATTCTTTGCCATTTCACCTCCCGTGCTGCCTGCAGTGACTGAACAAGTAAGTGTCCCCAACCCTTCAGAGCAGTTCAGAAATAACACCTCTGGCAAACAGCTTCCCTCTGGGAAAGAGACAAAAGCAGAGGAAGAGCACAGCAATAAGTAGAAATAAACTATTTTACCTGGTAACACCACCTGCCCAGAAGATAGTAAGACTTTGGATCCTCGGGTTTCAGTTCAATTGCTTTATCGATGTGTTCCTACGGAAAAGCATCACTGTCACACGTTTGCTATAAGCAAATACAACCTCCACAAGAGCAGATGAACAAATGTGGAAAGAGGAGAGGAAGAAGTGACAATTCAAGTGTCAGTGATCAATAAAGTTACAGCTACAAAGAGAACCCAAATTCTCTTAAAATGGTTTCAGTGAACACACAAAACCAGCATGTTACCAGCCTCAGAAACAAGAATTGCTACACACAAAAGAAATGAAGCTGCACTTCGTTTTATTCTACCACCTTTCCATGGCTTTGACATAACCAAATTACTGGTTACATCAATAGCTGGCGAAGTAATAATTATATGTGGCCTGTTCCGTAGTAACTGTTCCTCTTACCCTGTCACATCCCTGCTGGGGATGAAAGGCAAATAAAGGAATCTGAGGCAGATCAAATCCCCTGCGAAAAATAACTACTTCACGTCCGTGGGAGGGTGCAAGCACGCTCCCAGGCAGTTACTGAGGAAGAGCTGGTGCTGTGTCTTATCACCACACAGTAATTTCATGGTTCAAGTCCGCAGTCTCACCACATACATACATTTTGTTTGCAAGACTCTTCTCACTGCTAGAGAAATACGTATCGTTCAATACTTATGGGAAACCCAGCGCGTCCTGTCCACTCACCTTGAACACATATCCAGTCTGAATGCGCTTCTGGATGCTCTCGTGCTCCGATAACTGCCCGCACAGAATGGCGTACCTGCGCAGGGGAGACACGGCGTGAAACCCAACGGCACTTCTCAAAACACGCTCATATCCTGGTGATCTCTCCAGAAGGAAGATACAGAACCATAGAATCATTAAGGTTGGAAAAGACCTCAAGGATCATCAAGTCCAACCGTCAACCCACACCACCCAACCCACTAAACCATGTCCCGAAGCATCACATCTACAAGCGCGTTAAAGCTTCACAGCTTACTGGGGAAATCAAGGAACACTGCATCTTTTCCAGAGAAGCAGCAGATACAGTAACAATTTCGGAGGTATGAGCTGGAAGGATGTCAGCAAGTCACTGGGAGAGGCTTGATGCGACAGTGAACACATTGCATCACTGGCTGGAAAGCCTTCCTGCTACGGAAAACAGGAGCAGCACGCTTCTACACCCCACACTTCAGCACCCAGCAACGAGACGGCGTCAAAACACGGAGCGACGGGGAGCCAACGCTACTGCAGCCAGAACCAGAGCTAGGAGAAGCTCTAATGAGCCATGGCGCGCGGCGATCTTCCATACGCAGCACCCCATCTATGGCACGGCAGCTGCCTACTCCAGGGAAAATATTGTGAAAACCTACCTCCATCCTGCAGCCCCGCACGGCCACCACACTTGGGAAACAAAATGAGATGTTTTCAGTGTTGCACGTGCAAAGCTATTTAGTTTTGTCTCATAAGAGAACGTAGATTTGGAGCTGAAAAGCACAGTACCTAGCAAAATCAGTCACTTTAGAAGCTGTGAAAGCTCAGGAAGGTTAATTACCCCGCGTTTGCACCCTCCCATCTCACCTCCCCGCACCGCAGCGGACTCTCGCCACACGACATCCCAAAACATCCCTGGTGATGGTTAAACTGCAACACATCTTCAGGCAGGAATTTGGCACAAGACTCAGCATCACAGAAAAACCCGCAAGACATCTCACACCTCAGCGCTCTCACCCCAACTCCGCTTTCAACACACAAGTTACAATACAAAGAAGTTATGTTTCACAAATATTTACAATTTTGTCATTAAAAGAGACCACCAGACCAAAGCCTTGAGTGGGCAAACCCCCTTTCCTCCAGCCGACAGCTCACAGCCCCACGGCTGGAATCCATCACTTGGACATGACAAAATGAAGTGGTTTTATGATCCTCCCCAGTTTGTTTCACAACAAACCTCAGCCTGCACTAAACATCCCTAACCACAACACGATGGGTGTAGAAATACGAGCCAATAAAAGGCTGATTTTCTAAGATCTCAAGATAAACAATCCCCAGACAATAAATCCGGGTCTGTCACCCTGCCGAACGCACAGGAACTTGCCAGACCAGGGCTCCTGTAACCAGAGTGTTTAGGAACACGTGGGCAGGCTTTAAATACCATGAGGTCAGGTTTAAGGTTCTGCAACAAAACAGGAAACACCCTGCCCTAACAGGGAAGCGAAAACTCTGCCTAACCTCCCCTTATACCCCCGGGAAAGCCGAACGAGCCCCTTCAAAGCAGCAATAAATCCACTGGGACACGGAGCTGGCCCAGCCCCATCCCTCCACCAACGACCACATAAATGTCAAGTGGGGCAACGTTCAGCTGTCGAGAAATGTAAATACCACATATTTTTTAACAGCCTGGTGAAGTGTAATGCAAAATAAGCAGTAAATAGTAGCCTCATCTTTGTGTCACGAAACTGAAAAAAAAAAAAGGAAAAAATGGTGAGAGATGCCTGAACTGGTTTTTCACTGCAGTCCCAGGAACAGAGGGCTCTACCCAACCCAGCCTTGCTGGTCTCAGCTCCTGCCTCGGGGTCCAGAGCCACCAGCCCGCTGCTGATTTTTACGTGCGAGACTTTGCAGTTCTGGGATTTTAGGCTCTGGAGGTCTTCAGATCCCGATTTCCCCTCCTCACTCGGCAGCGCCAACAGGGTTTTCTGCTTTTATCTCTCTGCTTGTTTAGCTTGGCTGGCTGGAACCATTTATTCCAGCTCATTTTCTGAGCTGCCTCGGGACGGATGTCACGAGAGGCACCGCAGAGCCGCAGGACTGACGGGCAGCAACAGGAGAGATTAAAAATAATGAGTTAGGGAAGGGGATTTTCATCTGCTGTAAACAACACGTAACCTCTGAAGCACTGTTCAGATCGAGGTCTCCGCAGTTACTGAAACCTTATATTACGATATCGCCTGACTAATTATTAACCAGAACTGCTCATTAAGCTGCTGACACTGGTCAAACTGCAAGTTCCCATTGGAATCTCAGCTTAGTGAGGATTTCCCCATTTATTAGAAAATAAACTCTGTGGAAGCAGACACGACCAGATGAGAGATCGTCTGTTCTTCCAGCTCAAATCCCCGAGCTCGGAACACACAGCTTTGAAGAAACTTCAGTTTTTGACGCTGCACTCTGGCTGACTCCCATGGACGCCGGACTTCTGGCCTCCACGGCTGGAACACGCAGCCCAGTGCCTCCAGCCCCATGGCCGGGGGGCTCTGCCAACCCAAATACAGCTCGGAACCCCTTGAGCTGGTTCAAGGACGCGTTAGCCGAGCGTGCCAGGGCTCCTTTCTGCATAAGGCAATCAGTCAATTGAAAAGAAAGGGTGAGGCAAAGGGGAACAAAAGGAGAAGGGGAAAGAAGTGGGGAGAAGCAGCTGTTCTCTCCAGAAGTGAAAAATGAGAACGTAGGACAGGGCAAGCACACACACCACTTCCTCGGACGATTCCTCCAGCCTCCGTTCGGACAGATATTGGCTGAATTTTCCTTTCCATGCCCCGTGGCTTGTTGAAGCCCATAAGCTTTCCACAGCCACCATGGTCTGGGGTGAGGCATTCACAGCTTTGCCGTGTGCATGACAGAAAACACCTCTTTCTGTTTCAGCCTGCTGCTTAGCACCATTATTCGATGCTGTCTAGAGTTCTGGCTGTGGCAGAAAGCGTTCCCACCTGACCCTCTCCATGCCATCAGATGCACAGATAAGTTCTGTTCCTCTCAGTCACCTTTCTTCCAGCCTGACGAGTCTCAAATCTATCAACTAATTCCATCTACAAAAGCTGTTCTGTGCGTTTGACCTCCCCTGTCACACACCTTGGACAACGCCGCAGCTTTCCAAGACCTTTTCAGAGAAGGCGAGAGCAGATCTGCACAGCTGCTAAAGAGATGATGTTCATCACATTCCCGTTTCACACAAGTATAACCCCCCCTCTTTGCAAGCGAAACATCATTCAGCACAGTCCACCCTAAGCTGGAGGCACAAAGATTTGTAAGACTAACGAGTCCGCAGATACTTACCTAAACAAGTTTTAACAACTTGAAGGTGATGCTGAGACTACTTCAGCTCTTACTGGATCAGTTGCAGGCCATCAGCTCTGGCGAAACAACTCAGTCTGACAGCTTTCTGCATGCTAATCCCACTTACCAAGTTTTAAAACTGCACAATGCTAAACAAGTTGGCTAATATATGGCTTAAAGAAATAAAGACATACAGACTAAGCCACAGGCTTGTGTCTGCATGTTGGCATTTATTTTCTTACTGGTGTAATTATTTTACTTGCACTTGTGAACGTTTTCCCCACTGCACCATAATTAAACTGTGGATCTCCTAATTGGGGTTTTGATTTTAGCTGTACGTGTGTACTCGTGTATGTATGGTGAGAACGGGGAAAAAAAATCTCATTTGTTAAAACTCCCACAGACCCACTCCAAACCTTTTCTCTTTAAGCAGTTATCAGACACTTGCACAACTTGGTGGAAAGAGCAAGAGAAAATGTTTTTGTAGCTGAAGTGATATGACAACTGGGAGCAAAACTATGGGAAAAGCTCTCCGCACGCTTCTCATGACTGCGCTGGATGATGGCTTGGGAACGACTTCAGTGTTACTTATGCAACGGCAGGAGACCTCAGACGAGCCGTGGTTAGAGCAGCACGAACATTATCCCATTGCCAAGCCGTAAAATTCCCCAATGCCCAGAGACTTACATGAAGGTCTTCACTATTTTATATGAAAACAACTTCAATTTTTCAAAATAAGACAACACTATTTTTAAAATTTTTATTACTTACTGCACAGTCGAGGCAGACGATGGCTCACGTCTGCCAAGGACAAACAGCTCAGCTCTGCTCTAGTGGAACCAACACGAACACGCCACTGCAGCGATCCATGATGACCTTCATCCCTCTGCAAAAGCAGCCAAAGCTGCTGTGCCAGCAAAGCCCCAACCCTTTCCAAAGAGCATCAGCTCCACAGACTTACATTTGACCAAGACACACTAAGATGAAAGCAACAGCCCGCACAACTGTGCAAGATGTTCAAACTATGAAAAGAGACTGCAGGAACTCCTAGGGCTTTCCAGGAAGGTGTCACCTGCACCAACACTATGGAGAAGAGCTGCAGAATGAAGCCTTTTTTAGCGCATGTTTTCCACATGTGTGGCATTACCAGCTGTGCTGAGAGCTGCCCACTGACATACTCGTGCTCTTAGGACCTCAGTTCTCAGAACTTCTCTTCTCTTTATGCCTAACAAATAAAAAGCAACCCACAGACTGTAAATGTTAAGTTACTTCACTGTCTCCAAGAGAAGGAGGGAGTATTGATCCTGCTGAGATTTTTTTTGTCCCTGGTCATACTTTTCAGTACTTTCTCCTCCTTGGCTCCTCTCCGGTGTTCCCACTCTCAGAGCCTCCGTGGCTCAGGACATGGAGATGGTTCAGGGTACCGACACCCCCAACGAAGGGAGGGACCCTCCTGAGCCAGGGGGATGCTATCAGATGGCTCTATTTCTCTTCTTCCTCCTCCTCTAAGTTCTGAAACATCTAACACCTATTCCTATTTGCTATAGTTGCTTCTGCCCCTGATCTATATCCAGTCCAACTCACACAAAAGCTGGTAACACAGCACCTGCACAGTTCCTCCCAGCTGGACCTCTGAAATCCCTCGCTGCTCCGGTTGTACTTCCAGTGTTAAACAGCAGGAGCGGACGCCAAAGCAAACACACAGCTCGCCGTCCTTTCCTCATCCCTAGAGCTGCGGTTCCCTGCTTGCGGCTGCACTGCAAACAGCCCCACCGACAGACCGGGGATTCTAACAGCCACAACCGCTTCTCAGTCGTTTGTGAGGATACTCCACAGTCGTGTCTAAGCAGCAAACCGCACAGGTCTGTGCGATGATCGGTGCCTCTTCTACCCAGCCCTCAAAGCAAGAACAGACTCAGAACTTGCTCTGTCCTCCCATTCATGAGCTGGGATCAGCTAAGGGAGCCATCGATCCATTTAGCTGGACGGACCTGGCTGTTCAGAGATCTTTACAACTAAAGCAGAGAATGACTTCATGCCTTTATCGACAGTAAGGCCCAGGTGATTATGAGACAGGAGTACACAGGCATTAAGAACATGGGGTGTAACACCCATCAGTCCACGACACACAAATCTGTTCTAAAGGTACTAAACACACCCAACGCCCAACACAACCCCGACATGTTTCTATACTCCTAAGCAGCACCCACAGGGAAAGCAGAGCCAGAGATCAGTCCTGCTGCACACAGGCTGACTTGTGTGTCTAGCCCCGATCCAACCCCAGCTCCGCTCCGACCAGCCCTGCGGAGATGGCTCTCCCGGGACCAGCTGACTTCCAAGAGCAGGCGACGACAGTAACAGCTTTGTACCAGATCGAATGTCAAGACGACCCAGGAGATCCATGAAAGGACTCTCCTGCATTTTTTGGCAAATCCCAAACCTAGTCCAGACACAGTCCCAGACACTTACTGCTTTCTCTGTCATTTTTGAGAAACCGCTCGCTCTCACCCTGCCAAAGCCATCCAACCATCCAGCCACAAAGCGCTCCAGAGCTGCAGCCAGTCACGCTCAGCTCAGCGCTGCCTTCGCCAGCATCCTGAAATCCCTTCCCTCCACACAGTTATTTTCTTTGTTTGTTGCTTTAAAATATCAGTCACTACTGCAATAACTGTGAGGCACAGAGAGGGGAATGAAGTTGTACTTGCAGCGATGAGTGTGTGCAAAGAACCTTCTGTCTTGCTTGACGAGGTTCTCACCTTGGAGCCAATAAATCAGGGAACGATCTGTGCAGCAGAAGCAAATCACACCAAATAGGCACTGAACCCAGCACAGCTGCGTCTGAAGCAATCCATAAGCACTAAGTGATGGTAAAATGGAAAATTACAGTTAACGTGAAATAACACAGACAGGGGAAGACGCAGCCCTAACGATCCCTGCACAATCAGAGGCTTCGCACAGCCCGTACCACACAGCAGAGACACCAAAACCACTGGGAATATTTCTATCAAAATGCCCGTTTAGAGTGTTGTGGAAAAGACAATGTTGTCCTCTGGATATGGAAGTAAGAAAAGGATCATCCCATCAGGATTACACAAATAATCCACGCTGCTCCCCCAGCTTGTGTCCTGCAGTGAATCCCTGCACTGCTGTCTGAGAAAAGATAAGGCAGAAAGAGAATAAGATGGGAAAGACAGCATGGGTGATGAGAGAGAATAAAATTATTCCTTATTAAAAGAGAATAAAAGATGAGGGTTCTTCAGCAGCGGAAACAGGCACTAAAGAGAGGAATACGACAGAATAAAACCATGATGTCCAAAGGAAGAGTGACTAACCACTCTGTGACCGCTTCTCCATGAACCAAGAGCTAGGGCATCGAACCCAAACAAACAAAAAGCTTTAAAACCTCCACTGGCAAATTCAGCCAGAAGCAGCAGGTTTGTGCCTGCACAGAGCATGGCAAAGGATGGGCTCTGTACCCGAGGATGGCAGGGAAACAAAGGACCCACGTGGCTAAACCACGACGACACCACCTCAGGGAGGGGAGCTCCCTGGGGGGCTGCGCGCTCCCCTCCGCCCCTCTCCCTGCTGGGGTACGGCTGGCACACGGAGGGAAAGCCATCACTGTATTTTTGGTTTTTAAAATACTTTCCTCAGCGTTGCCACCGCTGACAGCAGGGTGCACTGAACCACGTTCTGAGCGAAGGGCAAACAACCTGGAATGTCTTTGGGAGCTACATTTTATCCTATATTTTTCATATATATGTATCTTTTCATGTATCAAGCATCATTTCATGAGCAATAATTTTTTTTTTCTCAGGGTAAATTCACTTAGCATAAAGAGAGACTGCAATTAAAACAGCTTGCGACATCCCATGACCCACACAGAGCTGGAAAGGGAATAATTTCCTGTTCTATTCATGGTAGAAAATAATTATTTCTGTGACTGATAAAGGTACTTACACATCCATTTCCAATAAACCCCATGCCTCCCACATGCTGCTCTGCTATTTCCTTTCTCTGCAGCTGCTCTCTGGAATTAAAAGCAGGATGTAGACGTGCAGGAGCCTCATCCCTGGTCTGAAGGACAAGAATTGGGCACCCTGACACCAAAACCCTTGTGGGAGGAGGTGGGCACAGGCTGTCAGAGAGGCACCAAAGACATCCCAGCTCTGAAGGCTTGAGATTTGCGACTGGAGACCGCAGGAACCTCACATCGCAGCCATCGCCTCTGCACACTATAACTTCTGACGTACCGAGCTGAGCTGTCCGTGTCATACCCTGACGCAGAACCTGGCTTTGTAAAACATCAAACGATCGAGTTTTAAAGTGGCTTACAAACTGTAAGACTCAACCTGGCAACTCAAACCCCATTCCTTCAAGCTGTTAAACCAGCAGACACAGCCAAACACCGCAATCTGCTAGGGATTAGTGCCGTTGTCTGTCCCAGAATTTCCCCTTCCTATCAGAGCTTTAATTGAGAACAGCAATTCATTACCAAGAGCTAACACACACAGCCTTTCCGAGGCAATAAAGGCATTTATTTAGACACCAGTAGTCCAAACCGATCCTCCAAATAAATGTACTCATCTCAGCAGAGCGCAGATCTTGTTTGGTAACCACATTCAGCATCCTGTTTTCCCAATAATTTCCATTTAAAAAAAAATCTCTTTTATTCTATTTTACATGCTGTCAATCCTTCAAAACAACTGTTGATATGAGGAACCAGCATTTATATACACACAGAACACCTCACTTGGCTAAACTGCGCATCATTTAATCTTTTATAATGAAAAAAAAATTAAAGTATCTTTGTAAAGAAAGAGCCATATGCTGCTGTCTCCATTCATGTCGAAGCCAGAGCACTCTGCAGAGGGACAGGCAGCACCCGTGAGCAGAACGCGGCACTGCCAGGAGACACTCTCCAGAACGCTGTTAAAGGCTGTCTGACAAGAATGATGCTTCTCCCTACTCCAGAATTCAGATGGATGTAAGAACACTGGCACAGCACGAAGCCCACGCTCAAGGCCTGGCTGACTGCGGCAAACACATCCCCTCTTGACAGATCGCATCTCTGCGCAGAAGAGCGACATGGAAATGTCAGTAACAGAGCAAAAGCCAGCAATTAACCCAAGAATGCTGCAGGAACACAAAGGAAAAAAACTTAATTCCTATTTAATATGTCACTGTTAAGACTTTGCCCCCAGAGCTGTGAGCTTGGCTCCGGAGAACATCCACACAACTCTCCAGAGGGCTGAAAAGGGGCCAAAGCAACCAGAGGATTCGTGAAAGAAAATAAAGAGAGCCTCAGCACGCTGAGCTCTCCAACTCAGGAACTCGCTTTCAGCAAGTTATCTGCGTGAAACAGATCCTTTGGCAGCCCATGGTCACCCAGCACAGACCAGGGCGCTCCGGCATGCGTTTTCCCAGGGTCTGCACAGTCAAAAGCGGTGCCGACAGCGTTCAGCCCCTTTCTGCGCCACGACGCTTGCAGCATCCCGCCCGGCACGCACACAGCCCCATTGCCAGCTCTGAGCAAGGCTTCGTCTGCCGCTTCCCAAGAGGGAAACTGCACAATTCCCAGGAAAGCTTCTACACAAACTTTCCTTCACTTCACCTTTTCAAAAATACATGCACTTAAGCTACACGCAGCCCAAAGAACATGCAGCTTCGTCTGCTAAGTTTAGCCTGGTGAGCACCAACTGGAGCTCATCTTTATTCATCCCAAACTCAGCTTGTCCACAGCTTGCTCCTCCAAGCCTCACCTGGAAGTTCATCCCTCACTACCACCACCAAAGTTCATGGACTTGCTAGGTGCAGACTCCCGAAAGCCTCGATACAATCTGCTCTCAGGATCCAGAGAGGTTCATTATTCTGTTTGGGAGCTTTTGCTCAGGAACCCCTCCGGCCATCTCATCTCAGAGAGAAATTAGCCATCAAATTGGTGCAAGCAGAGCCAAGTTTATCCCTATAATCGCAACCAAACCTACTGTCTGTGAAACCATTACTTGTGCCAATTAACCAAAGCTGTTAAAAATGGCTTTTTAAGGAAAATGGCATTATGTATTATACTCCAAGAGCAAATAAGCATTTTTAAATCATTATTTTTAAATGCAGCTCAGCTCACAACAACCTCCAAGTCCTTTTCCTATGCTTATCGAAAGCAAGAAGTAAAAAGTGACATACCACTGATGGCACTCAGCACTTCGATCCCACTTCTGTAAGGCAAGTTCTATCTCCCCTTTCCCTGCAAGTAAGGGGTCAGAGATCAGAAACGCAGCCACTTTCTCTTTAGCTCCTTCCTTAAGGCTGTTAGAGTACAATAACGGAATGGCACAAAAAGTTATGTCTTTGTTTGTTTGGTTTGAAAACGCTCCATAAATAATTTCGTATTCTTGCAGTGATATGGATTGATTCCGCTCAGTGAACACACATTTAAAATATATTTTTTTTCTGTCTACCTATGTTAACAACACAAAAAATTAAATGTGTTACAGCAAAAACTTATTTATTGTATTACCATACAGAATATGGGAATACGGATGATAGGTTTGAGAAATAAACTTTTACACCTTCAACTAGCCCTTGGTCTACTTACACTATCTTTCAGAAAGCAAAAGTTTTAAACACATTCCACCACAGTCCTGCTAGCTACTCACCTAAAAAAAAGATTACAAGGAAGGAAAAAAAAAAGTAAAATCCACCACACTGTTTGCAAGTGCAGGGTTTATAACTCTGAAGTGTAACGTCAGCTTTGAACATCCTCCTCCCTCTGCCCCAGCCACCCAATCCCTTACCATCAGATGCGTACGATCTCTTCTCCTCCGTGTCTTCCGTGATTTCACACATATCACTATGTGCTCGGGCCAGGCGCCAAAGAAAGTCTTTCTGGTCTGCGTACTGCAATAAAACCAGAAATGTTGTACATCAGGACCCATTCTGCCATTGAAGAAGAGCAGGAGAAAGAAAAATCACATGGGGGCATATACCAGAAGTCACACTGTCATTTTTTTGAAACCTTGAAAGGCCCCAACTCTACAGGAACCAAAGCAGAACCACCAAAGAGCAAACTGGACAGCCAAATTCACCACTTCAATAAAATTCACAAATCAAACTTTACTTTTTCCATGCTTCAGTCAGCACTCAGTTTCACATCCTGGCTTGTTCTTAAATCTGGGACAGCCCTGTAGGTGTACTGCAAAATCTGAAGTGGTTATGTTCTGACAAACTCAAACTGACTTAAAAAAAACAACAAACAAAGTAGAAAATTAAAACAGAACCACCTAACAGTCTGGTTTCTTTTGCAATAGTATTGTAAATAAAAGCAAGTGGGAGAAACACCATGAAAGAAACATACAAGAGTTTTGGAAGCCAGCAGACAGTTTCCTGAATATAGCTCAAGATGTAAATGTTCTCGAGTTCATTCCACACACAGGGTTTGTTAGTTTACACATGTACAGTGTTCACTCAGGGAAGCGATGACACGATGAGACATGGAGTTCCAAGACAGAGCGCGACTGGGAACTGGCTGCTGCTGTGGTCGAGCAGTCCTGGCCCCCAGCCCGCTCCCAAGCTGCTACCGAGGGGCCGTGGGGAGCTGGCCCAGCTGGGGTGCAGGACCTGGACCCCACTAGGATATGCAATTTCCTCTTTCCCAGCTATTAGCTGAAAACACAGATCACTGCTGGAGAACAGCAAAAGGCAACCTTTACCGCCAGTTTGTTATTCAGCAGCAGCTGGAACCCCTCTCTCTTCTCCTGCTCGTTGCCATCGTGCAAGCGGTCCGCCTGCTGCAGGAGCTGGCTCAGCCCTTCCTCCAGCAAGGAATCAAAGATTAAAGGTGTTTCGTCCTCGTTGACAAGATCCAGGGAATCCCGTCGCACGGTTTTCACTGTTTCACAGCTCACTTCGTCTTCCCCTTCATCGCTCTCTCTCTCGGACTCCCGGTCGTAATCGGACTCAGCGTTGGCTGTGCTGTACCTTTGAGAAAAAAGGAAAAAAAAACCAACCACAACGCAAGATTAGCTTGAGGAGACACTGTGCAGCCTGTGGCAGTTCTATACACACGGTACAGAAAAAACAACTCTTCCTAACAGAGGAGGATCTCAGTTTATCCTGGAGAGTGCTGTACAATCTCACACAACACACCAACCCTTATTTCTCACGGAATACACACAACTTCACAAACCTGAAGAAGGCCCCCCAGAAGTTCAGCAGAACTCGGTCACAAGCATACACATCTCACCTGCAGCTTCTCTGAGGCCTTCCAACTTCAACAGAAGAGAATTAAACAACTAAGAACAGAGCTAGGACAACTCAGTTAAAGGTATGGACTGTGAAAGAGAATGTCAACAAAAAATCCGATACACTCGGCCATGTGGAAAACACAACCTGAGGTTTTTAGCCTGTTCCAGGAAATACCGGACACGATGGCTGTTTTGGCAATACCTAGGATCTCCATCACCTCGTTCACACAGCCCATGAAAAGGTGCAGAACAGCAGGAGAGCGATCACAGTGACTTCACGTGAGCAAGAAGCTCAGCAAGGAGCCAGCGGATCAGCCACAAACAGACCCCACCCGTACCAA